AAATTATTACATTTACCTCATATGCTTGGTCTGACAGAATGAATGCTAGGATACTGTTTTTCTAACTGCCATTACTTTTTTTTTGGCCACAGAGTAAAGGCTGAAGGTGTATGATCCCGCTGAGATAACCATTCAACAGACTTTCTGAGCATCTCTAGCTTTTAAAGGCTTTTCCTGCACTAACAAAAACTAGAAGCTTGATTTTAAAGGAGTAGCAGCATTCTGGTGGATTTACAAAATTATTATTCTATAGGATTGTTTCTGCTCATTTAAAGTGCACTCTCTGCATATTTACTCAGAATAATACTCAGCCTAAAGTAGCGTTTCAAAAAAAAAAATCCTAAAAATGTCTATCCAAAATTTAATTAGGTGAGGATAAAAATATATCATTAGGTATATCATTTGCGTGACCTGCTGACCACAGTTCTATCAGCTGGCTTTCCTTATACCTCCAAATTAAGACACTTAGAACAGCCTTTCCCAACCTGGGCTCTCTAGATGTAAAGAATTAAAGCTTCCCCAAGTGATCCCTGGCTGGGTATTCTGGCCCTAACATATCCGGAGAACATCAGGTCAGAGCAGTCTATCTTACAGTTTGCTAATCTGAAGGAGGAAGGAAAACTCTCTAAGTAGCAGCCCGTTAGAATAAAACGTTTAAAAGAAATCAGTTTCTTCCTTTAAAGAAGTCAGCTATGGTCAACCCCCCCCTTTTTGTGTGTGTGTGTGTGTGTGTATATGTGCAAACATTTGAATTATAGAAAAGGTGAATTACAGAAAATAATCTGCACAAATGTAATCAGGTGGGCAGGCAAAGAACTAAGTAATATGAGACAAAGACAATGTAACCGCACTGCACTGGAGTCTGTGAGTGACCTTTCAATATTTCCACATGAGCTCTTTTCTCCAGAATTGATAGCATTTACTTACTCTAGAAGTCTGGAGAATCCAGAGAATGTTGGTGCCATAATATTCCATTCCAGGGCTCTGGCTTTATTATTTCCTTTTTTTGAAGACAGGGCATAAGTCTATGAGAATCCATCCAATCTTACAGGGGACTGGCAAAATGCCATTGCCATGCCTGGCTGCTGCCTTCGTTGACTGCCTATCTACCATCCCTGGCTTTTCATCCATGAAGCTATCTCAAACAAAATTAGAATTCTAGCAACCAGTTCTCAAAGACAGCAAAAAGAAAACTTAAGTGAGTTCTTTCCTCATCTTAGCTAGTAGACAGTGGGTCACTGGACATTTCATTTCCATGGGTTTATGTTAATTCTTCAAACCTCTGAAGCTTCCCTTTTGGTGTTAAAGCCTAATGAAGCATCCACAAATAAAACAAATATACTCTGAGGGTATTTTTGCTTGGAGCTACTAAGGTTGGCATAGCAGCACCCCACTGGCACTAAAGGACTGTGGAAGGAGAATCCCTTCTGACCTCCAAAATGCCATTTTGAGATTTTAAGAGATAGGCAGGGAAGGAGACAAGAGGATCAAAGAATACTGGTTCTAGAAATAGTGGATTTTTTAAATAGCATCAATTAACATAGCCACGTACAAAGATGCACCTGTCAGGATGATGGTAGGAATGAAACAGTTGGACAGTAGTATGCTGTCTTATGGCATCGGTTCCTCATTCATAGCAGGCTTGATTTAAGATGCTAGTAATAAATAAATGTCTGCTACCAGTTTATTTTCTGGATTATGTTTACCACTTAAGCCCCTGCTGAACTTTCAGATGGGTGATGAAAACTGTTCTCTGGTGCATCATTTTTAAGATCAGAGTGATGGGCATGAAGAAGAAGGTCTTCTTGGGGTGATGCCATAGCTAGGTAAGTGAGTCATTGTTTGAAGATGGTCAAAAATTGCCTCTGGGAATAAAATAAGGGATTTTTTCCTTTAAAAAAAGATGCTTCAGTTATACTTTTGCTAGGGAAACTTCCTTGCACTCAGCTTCTATAAGGCTACACCTCATAACTCAAAAATCCCAACAGACAAGAGACACTACTGGCTCCATGGCTTAAGAAAGGTAGCATTAGTTCTTGGATGCAGAGGTCACTCAACAGCCATGATCCCAACAGCCTCAACCAAGAACCAGAAATCTCACTGCTTGAGGCTAAGACTATCTGGAGTAGGGGTGAGGGAATCTTTTTCTAAATGAGCCACTGAACAGGGGAAAAGAGAGCTAACTGAGGACCCATGCATACAAGGAGGATACTTCCAAAAATGTGAACTGGGTCAGCTGACGGGAAGTCTGATCCAAGACTCCCTCATAACACTGTGGGTCAGGCCAATTTTCAGTTGGCCACTTTCAAAGCTCTTCTTAAGTGGAAGGCTGTGGGTCACTGAACCAAGGAAGGGAGCATCACAAGAATGGTGTGTGCTTCTGGCGGGCTGACAGCTGAATTCATGCTTTGAAACACAGGGGAAGATGGAGAGGGAGGGATCCCTGTGTGGGAAGGAACACAGCAATGAGCCAGATCTGATCTGCAAGCTTAATGTAGAGCCTCTGGATTATGGGGTGAGGAAGTGGAACCACAGCCCACCAACCTCAGGCCACACAGTTAAGGGCACTGGATGGTAGCCCCAAACAGCAGGAGAACCCCAGATTGAGTGCGAGAGACTTTGGGGTTTACCCCCTATTACTGCTAGAGGATCATTAAAAGATCCTCAAAACTAGTCTTCTTCAACCCAGAGTCCTTCAAATGTGCTGGACTACCATCCACACTCTATTAATGACTGGGCTGACTAAGATGAGATCTGAGATCTAGCACAGACAGAAGATTTTAGATTGGGGCAGCTGGTTTAGAGCAAGCCTTTGCCACAAGATACGAGCAGTTGCCACCCTTCCTTCTATCATCTTTCTGCAACAGGCAAGCAAGTTTTTATTTAGGAGAGTCTTTGCCATTTAAGGTGATTTGGTGGCTGAGGTAGGTACAACTGCCTGAGCCCTGGCGGTTTCTTTGCATTTTTTCTCTTCCAAAACGGAAATACCAGTCCAGGAATTTAAGTTCTTTTGCCCACTGTTTCTCTATGGATATTTTGATTTTTTTAAAAAAAGATTCTTTGTGTAACTTTTGTTAGCCCAGTTTTGCTGCTGAAGTATGAATCTATGGACATAGCCCAGCAGGAGCCATGCAAACATCGCTTGGCAGCATGGCTCATTTTCGGCTTACTAATGAGGAAGGAAGGTTAATTTACTCGCAGGTAGCCAATTTTCAGGCTGCGCTTCCTTCCATGCAACTGATTGAAGTCACAAACAGCATCACCCTCTGAGGATGCACTCCTACACTGAGTTAGGCAAAGTGCCAGAGGTATTTACATCTTTGGTCCTCTTGCCACAGACCAATATCAGCACACTAGAGCACAGGGCAGGGGCACAGTCTCTATAATGTCTAAGCATAAACCGAAGTCAATAAAAGGGGGACAAGACAAGCACTGACAGATCCAGCCTGTGCTTGCATTAACCAAGTTCAAACCTGATCTTCCCTTTCCCAGAGTGCGCTTCTGTCCACCACAAGCTAGTGGATACTTGCATTTCACAAGTGCAAAACCACAAAAAACTTCAGGGATCCTCCCATGAATTCACTGGCTGGGATCCTCTTAAAGCAGCCTTTGCCACAGCCATCAGATGAACTGGGACCGCTCCTCAGGAGGCTGGAAATACCAGAACTGGCAGCCCCGGTGCAGCCCAGGGGCACCACGTTGAGGAAGGCTGCGTTATCGGTTAGGTTCTTCAGCTAGAGAGGATGACGTGCTAGCAAAATGGAAATAGTTATCCCCCCCCCCCAAGTTTGCACTGAATCTGGTACTTATTTTAAGCAAAGAGTAAGACAAGCAGCCCCAGGGATCTGCAGTGGCTTAACACTGGAGTTGGGTGGCCAATAAATTTAAATAAATAATTATAATAACACCCCCTCCCCAACTAAAAGATTCCTGGCTGTATACAGAATACACTGCCTTTAATTTTCTGCATCCTGGAGATGTTCTGTATTGGGGAAGGGAGGGAGCCCCAAAAGTAACAATTTCACAGCAGCTGAGAGGAGAACATAAATCGTTCATCAAACGATTCTTGGGAAAGAAAACGGCACGGTTTTTCCTAACAAGCATATACTGTCAATTTTATCCCTTACTATTTTTTTCTCCCATGAAGACAGCAAAATGTGCCTGCTTAGCTACAAAGCCTCTGCGAAGAAGTACAGTCTTTTCGCTGCTCCAACTCTTTCTCCTTTTCGATTTCACCTTATTCAGAGCCGAACCTTGGCATTAACACGAAAACAAACTGGGGGAGGGAACCTGAGAAGCTTCTAGTCCTCAAGAAACATGAACTTCAGTTCTGAGTCTAGTCTGAAGGAGCGCCAGTTCCTTTCCGAACCCAAGAGGCATAAATAAGACAGGGAAGATTGGGTCAAACCGGGAACTTTTAAAAGTTAAAAGTTCAGCACAATTATACCTTTAAAAAAATACGCAACAATTCCGCACTGCTGCAATTCATATTGCTTTTAGAAGTATACAGTAAAACCACACAGAGAAATAAAACTGGGGGCGGCAGGACTTGAAGCGAGCATACAGAGTTAGAATATAACAGCCCATCCCACCGTATTTTATCTTTGCAATGCAAACCCAGATTCCTTGTTCAGCAGCAAGCCCCAATCCAGCTGCATTCGTGGGAGCTCACTTTTTAGGAACAGCGCTCCTCATTTCAGGCTGGAGCCATTTCCTCACTGGCGATTTATAGCCCGAGCAAGCGTCGCCGTGTCGTACATCAATAATAATAGAGCTATTGCCCAAACGCCGGCTCCAGCGAGCGAATGGCCTTTGCTCCGGTTCAAGTGCAAGAACGATTATTTTTCCAGCGTTTCTTCCCACTTCTTTAAATCGTCCCAACCGGAAATCCCCCCGTAGCGGGGCAGGGTTGCCCCCCCCCCCTCCGGGGTTACCTACTGTCCTTAATTCGGCCCTTCCCGAGTTTGCAAGACGTGGAGCCGAGGGGGTGGGCCGCTTACCTGCAACGGGCTCCATCTCCGTCTGGTTCTTGCTGCCTCCCTTCTTGGCTGACGCGGCCGCCGCCAAACAAACGCCCTTCCCGCGCCGCAGGGCGCGCAAAGGTGTGCGCTCGCCAGGCCGGGGGACGCAGCGCAGCCCCTGGGCGCAGCTGGGCGTGTAGACGCCGCAGGACTCGCCCGCCGCCCGGGCCCCGCAGGCTTTCTCGTCGTCGCAAGTAGCCTTATGATCGCTCTCGGGGGGGTCGCCGCCCGCCGGGGAAG